GGTATGTCAACTGTAAAAGCCTGAAAAATACTAGAAGCATTATGAAAACCTCTCATCATTAATAGCATAAAGATTTCTACATATATATTCCCTTTTTTCTGCACAGAAGGAAAAGGTGGTGTACTTAGAAGGATTGTTCACCTGGAACTAAAGTGCAACTAATTCTTAGATGGAGCACCTATGTTTATGGTTTCATTTTAAGGAATTTTTTGTTGTTGTTGTTGTTGGAAAGTTAAGGACAGATAAAAGAAATTGCATAGTTAAATTATGGCTACCAACCTAGAAGGCTTGAAAGGATGATCAGGGGAAAATAATGGAGGAGAAGACAACAGAAAGCTACTAGCCACAATGGCTATGCAGTGCCTCCAACCATGGAATACCGCCTGCTAGAACCCACGAGAGATGAGAGTGCTCTTGTGCTTGAATCCTACTTTTCCACTGCCATCTATTTGGTTACTTTGAGAACAGGATGCTGGGCTAGATTGGCCTGTTCTAGCAGGTTTTTCTTATGTTCTTATGTAAGCCACTCTCGGTGGCGCTGTGGGTAAAACCTAGGGCTTGCCGATTGCATGGTCGGCAGTTCGAATCCTCGCGGCGGGGTGAGCTCCCGTCTTTCGGTCCCAGCTCCTGCCCACCTAGTAGTTCAAAAGCACCCTTAAGTGCAAGTAGATAAATAGGTACCGCTTTATAGCGGGAAGGTAAACGGCGTTTCTGTGTGCTGCGCTGGTGCCGGCTCACCAGAGTAGCTTCATCACGCTGGCCACGTGACCCGGAAGTGTCTCCAGACAGCGCTGGCCCCTGGCCTCTTAAGTGAGATGGGCGCACAACCCTAGAGTCGGACACGACTGGCCCATACGGGCAGGGGTACCTTTACCTTTACCTTTTTAAGCCACTCTCAGTTGGACGTCCACAGAGATGCATTCCTGTCCATTTAATGCCAGGCTCACAATCTATTTTGCAGGGCATACAGTAGTTTATGGAAGCAGATTGGCTGTAACATCTGCTTTGCATGCAGGAAGTCCCAGATTCAGTGCTGAAGATACACCTGTTCACTCTGGCTTTTGACACTTGAGATTTATGCTTTTAGGCCCTATCTCTTTTTTTGTCATGTTAACTTGTTTTAAACTGTTTTTAATATTGTGTGATTCCGTGTTTTAATGTCAATGTTGTGTTTCAGTTGTTGTAACCCACCCTGGGACCTTAGGGTGAAGGGTGGGTAATAAATTGAGGAACTCTCCATGGTCCTGCTTTGGCCCGAAGTGAGTCTGATGCCTTGCTGGAATCTGACACATGCTTTATAGGGAGCTCTCTGTGGTACTGACTTTCACTTGCTTCCCTTGCACCTTACAACATCTAGCCAGATCACCACATGTGCTCCAGCCAGGAACAGAACAGCTCCACCCCGACTCTTCAGGCAACAGCTAGGCTCTTCTCCTAGCTGACCAGGTGCCATCTCCTCTCAGCCCCCTATCCCACAGGCACCACTAGGCTCCAGCCCCTGATCTGCCAGGCACTATCCTTTAATTAACATGGTATCATAACATTGTAGATTCTGTGTAATTCTCAGCCAGCATGGCCAACAGTGGGGGATAGGATCATAGAGTTGCAGAACAGGAAGTGACACCAAAGGTCATCTAGCCCAACCGCCTGCAAATGCAGGAAACACAGCTAAAAATCCCGGAGAGATGGCAATCCAGATAATATTGTATTTTGTGGGGAAACAAGGCCGATCCGGGCATTGAAGTCACCTCCCAAGACAAGCCGAGGGTTGGGTGATGGAGAGTCTATACTTTCGAGTAGTTGGTCAAATTTTCCCCAATATGATCTCAGTTCCCCATAAGACTTTACTGGAGGTATGTACACACAGATACAGTATTTCTCAGGAGACTATCAGAAAGGGACAACACTAAAAAATTAGGGGTGGTCAACGAGGGACACTGTTGAATTGATACATTAAGAGAGGTTGACACCAGCACCACCAGCCCCCCGCTATGCCTTCCATACTTTACAGTTTTAAGAGCTGGTTGAGTGTAACTTGTAAAACCCTGTAATTCAACCATAGTGCCCTCTTTTGCCCAAGTTTCTTGAAGAAAGATTATATCATGTGTTTGTAGATAGGAACAGAAATCACTGTTTTGGATCTTCTTCGGCCACCCTGTTACATTCCATGAGAGAAGTTTAATTGTTTTACAGTGATTTACTCTTAGTCAAATGCTAATGGCAATCCAACCTCTGTTTAAAAACCTCTAACAAAGGAGAGTCCACCACCTTCCAAGGTCATCTGTTCCACTAGCAAACAGCTCTTTCTATCAGGAAGTTCTTCCTAAGGTTTAGCCTGAATCTCCTTTCTGGTCATTTGAATCCATTGGTTTTGGCCTTGTGCTCTGGAGCAGGAGAAAGCAAGCTTTCCCCACCTTCCGTGTGACAGCCCTTCCAGAACCTCCTTCGTCTCCACCCGCTGCATCTCAGACTCTGAACCACACAACACGTGGCAACCTTAAACAAATACAAGCACACTAGTCACTGCATCGCACAACTCCTCCAGTCAGCCTTCCTTTGCAGCATTCATTTCTCCCTCCATTCACTCTTCTTTGCTGTACTTTGGCCCTAATATAAAAAGCACAGTTTGCCACCGGGGGTCCACTTTGCACAAAGCACAAGTCTCTGCCTTGAGTTCTATTCCTGTCTTGTTTGTTGGGCTTTATTATAATCTCTGAAAGTTTCTTGATGGACCCCTTGGAGAAAGCTATAAAGTAAATTACTTCATGCCAGCATGACACTTACTTATCACAGTGTGGGAGATCACCTCCTGCATCGCTAAATGTATATCTCCACATACTGATTTCTGAGCTTTCCTGAGGAATTTTCGATAAGGGTCGGGAGGGTGGTGGTGGGAAAGCCATTTATGTCATTGGGAAAGAAAGCCCCAACCCTGAGGATGCTGGGTCAACATTATCAGCTTGATGCATGTTTGTTGTTGTTTAGGGAGAAAAAAAAGAGGGAGGGGATTGAATCCCACAGAAGTAGGGCAAGAGGACAAAAACATTCCAGTGGTGGAATACTGCGCGAGGTGACCTTAGCAAAAAACATTTGAAGGAATTGTAGATGCCTTTAATAAAAAATCTTTTAAAATATGAATTTGTTTGTTTATATTGCGCCATCATTGTAGGGATGGACAGATCACTATATTCTGGGTCAATTTCACATGTGCTCATTCATAAATTTGCTCCATGCTGTTTCTTCATCAGCCTGCAATTTTAAATCTGCACAAAAAATTGTATTTTATTACATAGCTAAATGCACAGCCAAATAACTATTTCACCCCAAAATGCACATATGTGTTTTTTCTCAAGGTACACCTATCTAAAATGTATTTTATCTTAAAAATCTTAACGCATCTTGGCACATTTGCTTGAGCCAAAATTGTACTGGGAAATTTGAATGTGTTGAAATCCAAGTGATAATTGCACCCTGATCGGTATATTAGTCTGAAAGGTGTAAATTAGATCAGCTTGCTTAAAAGTATGGACCCAGCTAAATTCTCTTCCATCCTTACATCAAAATGCATGATGCTTTATATACCGTATTTTTCACCCCATAGGACGCACCGCCCCATAGGACGCACCTAATTTTTTTGGGGGGGTGGGAAATAAAGAAAAAAAATTATTTTCCCCCCCGGCACGGGGCAGGCGCGGGGGAAGCCCGAGCTTCCCCCGACCCCAGCCCCCAGAACAGCCTGCTATCCGCAAGCCTAGTGAGCTGCGCCGGTCTCCCCAGGCTTGCGGAGAGGTGCGCGAAGCCCGGGCGCGCTCTTCAGCGCGCACCAGGCTTTGGAATGCAGGCAGCTCTGTGCCACCCTCCGGAGCCCTGCGCGGCTTCGCACTGGGCTCCGGAGGGTGGTGCAGAGCTGCAGGAAGCCCGAGAGCGCAGCCAGCTCTGCGCTACCCTCCGGAGCCCCGCGCGGCTTCACGCCTGGCTCCGGAGGGTGGCGCAGAGCTTCAGGAAGCCCGGGAAAGCCTGCATTCGCCCCATAGGACGCACACACATTTCCCCTTCATTTTTGGAGGGGAAAAAGTGCGTCCTATAGGGTGAAAAATACGGTAATACAAGAGGATAGTTAACTGTCTGAATGAGTTCTTAATCTAAAATTTGATACAGAAAATTTTGAACAGACATAGAGGGAAATAAGTCAATTTTAGAAGGCAGTTGTTGCCCATGTCACTGCTGTTCGTCTATTTTTACAGTAGATTTGTTTGCTTGTTTATTTAGAACATTTTTACCCTGTTCTTCTCTTGAAAAGGCTCAAAGAGTAGTTTACACGCAATCAAAGAAAAGACAGTCTCTGACTGTAGAATTATAATCTAAAATGCATGGCACAAAAGGAAGGAGGGATGGGGAGGGAAAATGAAAAAGTTCTATCACTGCAGAAGAGCTAGAAGGCAGATTTTGTTGTGGTGGTGATTTTATATTTTTTCTGTTACATTCCCCCCCACACACACATTTATACATTAACCAATGCAACAATACGTTAGTCATCACCTTCCCTTCCCGCTCTTCTATAGTTCCTTTTGGTTATCCATTACTACTGCATCTTCTGATTTTGCTTGTGCATAATCTTAGAGTACTTTTCAACATGAACTTATTTGAATTGAATTGGTATGGCATGATTCTTTTAATGAAATGGTAGTTTGGAACAGGCCTGTACCAGTTCTGACCCATCAGGCTAACTGCTGCCCATCAGCCATGACTTGGACTCAACAAGTTGCTTGACAACACCTCACCTAAGTATAATTTTTTTCCAGTCTCAAGCAAGACTGGGAAGTTTATTGAGTCCTTCATACATCACCTTACATACATGGAGGTACAGCATAGTCATCTTGTTTCTGGTATGTACAAAAATATCTCTCGTGATTCAAGCTCTGCCTATTGGTTGATTTTAGGAAGCTGTGTTATACCATCCTTGTCTGCACTGGTTGGCACTGTTCTCTCCCAGCCCAAGCTGAAGATCCCAGGGATTGAACCCAGGACCTTCTGCATGCAAAGCAAATGCTATACCACTGAGCCATGACCTTTACTTTTTCTCTTGAATGCACCCTCTTGCCATGTTATATAGGCTAGGGGATAACATTCTGAAATGAGGCCTCAATCTCTTCCAGCACTCAATGACCCTTCAAACTGTCAGCTTTCCCAGCCATGTGTCAGAGTGTGAAGAAAAACTCATATCGCAACCCTGAGTGCTTACGCATATCGATGCAACCATGTGTAACCGTTTGGATGCAGCAACATCCATCAGTTGCACCGGTTTCAACAAAGCTGACCTCTGTAAACAAGAGATATCTGGCATCGCGTTCACTTGCATTCTGCCCAGTGCTGGGAAGCTTCCATGCATCCGTGCTCATTGCTTCAGACTACATGGATGCCTTGCACTTTCAATAAAATTTAGCAAAATTTCCGGGCAGCAAAAGGCAAGCAGACTCGTCTCTCACCACCCACAGTTCCAGAAATCATGGCCAAAGTGAAACTTGAGCCACCATGGAAATGTAACGCAGATTTCACGTGGGGATAAGAATAAGTGCTGTACTGCAAGCATCTCTGGGGGAAAATGGGATGTCTAAAACCCATTGCAACCCAAAGTGGGCAGTACTGCCCCCTGCAGCGGGTGTGTGAATGTGTGTGTGTATTGCCTGGGGAAGGCAGAGGGCACTGAAGGCAGAAATGACTGTCAGAATTTGAAAAGCTGGTATCACTGGATCAAGGTCATCCATTTTGTCAAATTATTTAAACTAGCTTCAACCAGATCTTGCATAAATGTGCAATTAATTGTTACTCTTTTGATTTTTATTGCTTTATTATCTTCCTTAGCGGGTCATGCAAACCGCTATTTCAAATAATGCTTTTTATAAGGTTGGCTACGGAGTATCAGGGTGAGTTTATGGAACCAAGCGGATGGTAGCCCCAAAATGCTTGGGAATCACTGCTCTGAACTATGAAATATCTGTTATTCCAATATTTCTCACATTGCACATTGCCAATTTCAGGTGAGCTTCTGTGGCACAGTGTCTCCTCATTTCTTTTAGTCTACATTAAAAAGGGAGGAGTGAATTGCTGGGGGAAGTTGATACAGCTTATGGTATAATCATAGAATAGTAGATTTTGAAGGTACCCAGAGGTTCATCTAGTCCAACCCCCTGCAGTGCTGGAATCACAGCTAGACCAGCCATTCCAAAGTACACACAACTGCCGTGAGTGGTGATTAAAGCATATTTACAGTGTCTCTTGGGAAAGCATCAAAATGAGTTCCCTTATGCAGTAAATAGTAAAGGCTGTGCACACACCCACACACCAATCCAGTTCAAGGCCCATCCACATCACACATAGGGGCGTGTCCATTGCATTTCATATATATATATATATATATATATATATATATATATATATAATCTCACAGTATAAAAAGGATGTGCTTAAATAGCCATGGGATAGTTTTATAATGCTAGTAAATCACCTTCTTCTCCTCTCTCTCTCTCTTCTTCTACTATATGGGGCAGGTGCATAATGTGAGTGTGAAAAAAGTAAAATTCTCATTTGTTGCTCTGTCCACTGTTACCTCTGGCATTGTCAGGATGCTGCCAGCAGCTCCCAGCTGGTTGCCCAGGAAAGACAAGGAAAAATTTCTTACCGTCCTTTTTTATTTCAATCTTTACAGAGAGAGGCTATAGAACCCAGCCTCTTGGATAATGGTGTTGTCCCGAGTGAATCTCCACCCAGCCCATCTCTCCCACTTCCTCATTTGTCACTTCTAAGGGTGCTGCTATGTGCCCTCTGTCTTTGAGCTCTTTGCTCTCCTACTTTAAGGCTCACTGGATTCTGGGAGATGGAGGGTCTGGAATGCTTTCTAATGACAACATGTTAGCTGAGTGTTGTTCTGGCTGCCCCATGATTTCCCAGCTTTTCCCCTCATCTGTCTCTGAGCTGCTACCTCCCTCAAACCCTGTTGTAAATCTCTACTGTCTTCCTCTTCCTGGAAGGCTCAGGATGAGGAGGCAGTCTTCACCATTCCTCCTCTGCCCAGTCCCTGACTGGCATGTGGGCCCTAGGATGTTTCCCTGAAGGGAATGTGGCCTCTGAAAAAGGTTCCGTCCTCCTGCTATAAGTCCATAAAAGTACACTATCTTGCTCCTCCTCCCCCACCACAACTGAATCATTTACTATTCAGAGCAATGACTGGGGAGGAAAATCAAGCCATTCTCTTTGATTGGGACTTTGAAGAAACTATTTTGAAATTTTTCTTTGTACGTGGAAGTTACAGTTGCAGCCCGTTAATAGAACGGAATGCAGCCATGACTTTTTTTAAAAAACAAAAATGTGTGATCTATATGGAAAGAGACACATCCAATTTCAATAAAGGATGAGAGAAGAACGTTGTGCAATAGGAATAAGGCCACTTTATTTTTTTCCAAGAACGCTATGATTTTGAAGCAACGTGGTGGGGTCATCAAATCCTCCGAAGCCTGAGCTACAGCTTCCTCTGAGATCCACGGTTCAATGCTCGTCCGATATTCTCCAGCCAGCTGTCTCTGAGTTGCAAACATTCAGCTCCTGACTTTTGCTTGAAGTTTTAATGATGTTTTTGATCACAAAATAGCTGCGTGCTTTACCAAATAAACAGTAGAGTTGGATGAAATATGCTAACACTGCCAAGGGATCTCTGCAAAACAGCGATCCAGGGAAATGGTGGAAGTTCCCCCCTGAGAAATCTTGCTGTTGGAAACTCAGTTTGCTTCACTCGGAAATTGCTTGGATGCTTTGCCTAAGCAGAAACCTCCCATAACGTTACACAGTAAGCATAATTAGGTGACCACGACAGAACCATTAGTGTGTTCTTTGACTGTGTTTTATTGTTGTTTGTTTGGATATTGTTAACCACCCTGCAATCTATATGACGGGAGTGAGGAAAGAAAGAAAGAAAGAAAGAAAGAAAGAAAGAAAGAAAGAAAGAAAGAAAGAAAGAAAGAAAGAAAATAGTATGGACCACAATAAATTTGCCTCAAGTGATTTATTGGTAGAGCATGAGTCTCTTAATCTTAGGGCTGTGAGTTTGAGCCCCATGTTGAGCAAAAGATTCCTTCATTGCTGAGGTTTGGTTCCATCCAGCTCTACAATTCTATGATCATTAATGCTGCATTGAGATGCGGGGCTCATTGCAGTCATTTTCATGGTTATAGTAGTAGTAGTAGTAACAACAACAACAACAACAATAATAATAATAATATAATTTATTATTTGTACCCCGCTCATCTGGCTGGGTTTCCCCAGCTGCTCTGGGTGGCTTCCAACAAAGACCAAAAATACACTAAAATGTCACGCATTAAAAACTTCCCTAAACAGGGCTGCCTTCAGATGTCTTCTAGTGCACTGTCTATATGCCACTACCGAGAAGGCCCTCTGCCTGGTTCCCTGTAGCTTTGCTTCTCGCAATGAGGGAATCTTCCATTCCATTTTCTAGCATTCCTTTTACGAGTGAGCCTCAGGAAAAAAAGGGCACGTGGCATATAGACAGTGCACTTTCCTTGCCATGAGAAACCTCAGTAAATGGTAAAGGTACCCCTGCCCATACGGGCCAGTTGTGTCCGACTCTAGGGTTGTGCGCCCATCTCACTTAAGAGGCCGGGGGCCAGCGCTTTCCAGAGACACTTCCAGGTCTTGTGGCCAGCGTGATGAAGCTGCTCTGGCGAGCCAGCACCAGCGCAGCACACAGAAACGCCGTTTACCTTCCCGCTATAAAGCGGTACCTATTTATCTACATGCACTTAGGGGTGCTTTCGAACTGCTAAGTGGGCAGGAGCTGGGACCGAACGACGGGAGCTCACCCCGCCGCGGGGATTCGAACCGCCGACCATGCGATCGGCAAGTCCTAGGCACTGAGGTTTTACCCACAGCGCCACCCGCGTCCCTCAGTAAATGGTACCTCTAGTTAAAAACTTAATTCCTTCTGGAGGTCCGTTCTTAACCTGAAACTGTTCTCAACTAGAGGTGTGCTTTCGCTAATGAGGCATCTTGCTGCCGCTGCGCTGCCGGCACACAATTTCCGTTCTGCTCCTGCGGCAAAGTTCTCAACTCGAGGTAACTTTTCCAGGTTAGCGAAGTTTGTAACCTGAAGCATTTGTAACCTGAAGCGTTTGTAACTCGAGGTACCACTGTCTTTCATGAGATGATCCCACAATGCACCAGTATTCTCAGATCATGTTGCTTTATTGCTTTACTTCCCTATTTGTTTATTTATTACCTTTTATTATTGCTAGTACTGGTGATGGAAGATTATTCAATGTTAGTTATATATCGAGATTTCTTGGCTTTATTTCATTTGCACCTCTAAGAATTTGGTTTTGGGCGGGGTGGGGGTTAATCCAACAATGACTTTATAAGCTCGCTAAAGGATCAAAGAATTCAGAAATCTAGGAAGACCTCAGCTAGATGACCCAATGGCCTGACTCTTGATAAGGCAGCATCTAATGTTCTTTTGCTCATACACGGTGTCCAGATCCATCATCTGTGGCTTAGATCAGGCTTGAGATAGATATGGAGATGGGCATGTGCACAACCTATGTGAGCTGTCAATGTTATGCATTTAAATGTTTTAAAACTGGTCTTTCAGCCAACATCAGTGCTGAGTCTCTCTCCCCCCCCCCCCTTTCCTTTTTCTGGCAAATCAGCAAATCCATCAATGGAAAGGAAAGGACCTTGGCAGAGCACTGGCCTCATACAGAAAATTAACCCTGCAACAGTAATGGAAGAATCCCTAGCAGTTTGGGCAAAAACCTCTACAAATAGCAGGAAATGAGGCAGCAGCAGCAGCTGCCCAATGACAGAAGCAATCATGTCTCCTCTCACTAAACGTTCAGACAACCCATTTAAGGGGCAGCCAAATAGATCGTTAGTGACTAAAGAGGCCATTATGAGCCATTGTGCAAATATGTATTTGGGCAAACGTTGCCATGTGGATTGCTGCCATTCGAACTCCTTGGAAAGGATGGCTCCTGGCCGCTCCATGTGATATGCTAAGACTTAGCAGTGCAAAGTTCAAGGTCTCTACTGGCTGGTGTGAAGCCAGTCAACATCACAGAAAGCTATCAGACCCCCCCCCATTTCTGCATACACTTGTCATATTTCATTGCAGTGACTTGTAAATCAGGTCCTTGGGAAGCCAGGGCTCCCTCGGTGAGAAAATTAGCAATGGGAGACGAGCTTCCCTCAAAAACAGCTTAACCTGCCATGTTCAGCTACAGGGTGGGTCATGGTCAGGTCTTTCAGGTTGACAGGGAAGGCCAGCAAACCTCTTTGAACACAAGGACCATAGTTCAGTGATAGAGCATCTGCTTTGCACATAGAAGGTCCCAGATTCAACCCCCTATGGCATCTCTAGGTAGGGCTGGTAGAGACCCCAATCTAAAACCTTGGAGAGCAACTACAAGTCAGCATAGACAATACTGAGATAGATGGACCAATGATCTGATTCAGTACAGTATAAGACATTTCCCTAGGTTCCTAGTGTGAATCCGAAACTATTCCCTAGACCAGGCTTCCTCAACCTCGGCCCTCCAGATGTTTTTGGCCTACAACTCCCATGATCCCTAGCTAGCAGGACCAGTGATCAGGGATGATGGGAATTGTAGTCTTAAAACATCTAGAGGGTCGAGGTTGAGGAAGCCTGCCCTAGACTCTAGTGCAGGCATGGCCAAACTCAGCCCTCCAGCTGTTTTGGGACTACAACTCCCACCATCCCTAGCTACCAGGACTAGTGGTCAGAGATGATGGGAGCTGTAGTCCCAAATCAGCTGGAGGGCCAAGTTTTGCCATGCCTGCTCTAGTGGGTAGGGAACCTCAAGCCCAGAGAACAAATACAGCCCTCCTGGCTTCTCTGATTAGTACTTGGGACCTTCCCAGGCCATGCTCCCTCTTCTCAGATCACACCCACTTCCTGGCCCTGCTTCACACCTTCCTTGAGTGTTTTTGCCTGGCTGGAATGTATCCTAGAACTCTAATAATGCCACTTGTTTGTATGGATGGAGGAGAGAGAGGTGATTGCAAATGTGTGTAGAAGCCAGCCTACTGACCAAATATAGCATTTCCAGTTGCTGCTCTGCCCACACCTTTGCATGCAGGGTCCCAATGAAGGATGGAGGCCTCATTTGTTGTGGTGGGGAGCCAATAGACCAAAAGAATACAAATCCTTATCAAAGTTTGCTAGTTGCTTATCGACAGCTCCAAAAACTGCTCATTGCAAAGAGTTGGAAAAAGAATGGTACTGCTGTTTTGACAGATTGGCTGGATAAAATATGAACCATTGTCATAGTGACTGAAATGACCTAGCACAGTACAGCTAATGTTGGAAAACCAAATTAAGTTCGTAGAAAGAATGTAATGTTCTGGAATGAAAAGTACCAGGACCATATTTAACTGCATAATGCCTTTCAATTGCTTTATTAGAAACCTATAAAGCACAGACTGTTTATGTATCAATAGCAAATGTACATGAATATTGTACGAATTTTATAAAATATATAATAATAAGATTTTTTAAAGTTTCCTAGTTGATGGATTAGCACCCAAGTTCAGCTGGTCAAACTTCCAGCTCCACTTGGAACTCTCCGTGGTGCTGATCTGCTCTGTGTCTGACCATTCATACTGGCACCCAACTCCTGCCTGCTTACTTGCCTGTTTGATCTTCAGCCCTGGCCTGACCTGACACTGCTCACCAGACCCTGGATGGATTTGGATCTCCCGGATCTGCCCCACCTGGACTAGAACCCTCTTCCTCAGCAGGGACTGCTGCCTGAAGCAGAACGGGCTATTTACATCCACACCCATGCCTCGTATTAAAGGAAGGAATGCCTCAATAAAATACCTTTGGATCCTCATTGTTTCTGATTGCCCTTTATTCTGCTTAGCTAACATGAAGGTGCTCTCATTTACTGTTGATAACAGTTATCAGCCGGAGTGCATTTCAAGCATTCCCTGTGAAAAGCGCAGTGTGTAGACTGGCTTGGTGTAGTCAGGCTGTAGGCCAAAGTAATGATCCACGTTTTCTCCTGTAATGCATACTTACGGCATGCCTTGCATTGTCCCCTATGATCGCCCATTCCATTAACGTCCAATTGCTGTAAAATGAACAAACTTAAGTGAGGTCGAATGGAGTGGTTCACCTTGGAGCAAAGTTTTCACTCCACATTCTCATTCAAATTCCCAGCAAACTAGGGACAGGCAGAGGGGGGGGGATTAAATTGTAGATGTTGACACAGCATTCCCATCGCCATAAAAGAGAGCAAGATGCCGGGCTTTATTGTAACAGCTTTTGATTGCATGGCAAAGAAATGCATAATGAATAAACATTATTTTAAAAGACTGCATGGCACAATGAATTTTTCAGTGGGAAAAAAGGAGTCGAGAAAGTATTTAAAAATACATGAATTTCATATTTGATTATAAGTCAAGAAGCAGCAAAAAAGAAAGGAAGAGCAAAAATAAAAGGAGGGTGATAAAAATGGCACCAGGCATCAAGCATTCTGTCTTGAATTAATGAGGTTCTTCATAATAGGAAGGGAGTGACATAGTGATTAGTTAATTACTGTGCAGAAACATATAATTAATGCACAACTGAAATTGGTGTACAATGAATTAAACTGCCACATAATGCGGGCTACAAAAATGGAGAAACGAACCTTGATTGCTGATGGAAGTTGTTATTAGAGCAGCTAAACTATTGTGATTTTAATAGACTTGCTATCAAACAACATGCTATTTAGCCAGCGAAAGCTGGATGTGACAGTGGTAATAGCAATAACACTGGAGGGGGGAATAACATTGAAGTGCCAGTGAATGCAAGGTCAGGAGAGCTCCCTCTGCTGGGCTGGTGCTGAAGAAGGAAACTAAGGAAGAGGAGGCACCCAAACCCCATATGTACTAAAGAGAATATGAGAAGTCTTCTTCAATTAATTTACATAGCACTGAAGAACATAGGCCCAGGGATCACTGATATCATCTGAAGGAGTACCATTGGTTGCCCCTTGAGTTGGCAAGGCTCATTTGACAGCAACAAGGAATGGAGCCTTTAGTGCAT